TAAGAGTAGCAACTCTGATATCTGAGCTAGAGAAAATAGTGCCACAAGATATTTTGCACCCTAGATCTCACCGAGGAGCAGAGAACTTGGGGGAAAAGGGGATTTTAAAGGTTTTGAAGACACACTTTGAAGCCTGTATTAATGTTACTTATTAAAGATGCATATTGAACTTCAGAGCTCGGGGGAGAGGGAGACTGTTGATCAGTGTGTGACAGCACTGAGATTCTGCTGCGAGAGCATGCCTCCTGAGATGGAGTGACTGAGATGAGGGTGATTTCTTACTGTTAAGAAAGCTGTTGAAAAGTGCAGAAACTCTTGAGATTGTCAATGATCTACTCTAGGCTATTAATGGAAGAACAATTGATACTTTGCATTAAGCTGAGAGACATTCCAGGCCGAACAACAACAATATATTGAAAAAAAGGAAGACATCATCACAGGAATGAACAGATCCCAGACAAACAACAACAATAACTCACAGGCATGCCATTAAGATACCTGAATACTTTAGACGTAATGGATGGAATGTATGTGCAAAGGCTGCTGAAAGTAGGACTGACTAGAATTAACATAGTTTTGTTAAAGATGATAGTTTTATTGCTGAAAAAGACACTTTTTGAAGATTTTCATCTTGCGCTCAGCAGGACAATTTTAAAAAGTGCCAATTTAAGGGGAAATCAACATTTATATAGTATGAGAGGAGTGCGCTGATTATTTGGTAAATATCCACTTGCAGACACGGGGAGAAAATGTAAACTCTATACAGATGGTGGCCTAAGGCTGGAATTGAACCGGATCCTTAATGCTGTGAGGCAGCAGTACTAAACACTGTGCTACTGTTGCTCTGAGAAATAGGCCACTGATTGGCTGAGACCCTTACTTTTCCAGATAGGTGTTAATGACCTAAACCTTAGCATACAGGACACCATTTCACAATTTGCAGATGAGAGGAAATTTAGAAGTATTATAAACTGTGAGGAGGATAATGAATAGGCTTGTCCAACAGCAGACCTGTGGACAACAATATAGCCTGCCCAAACGGTCTTAATCAGCCAACCATCGGTGTTCTATTTGCAGAACGTACAAGCAGAGGAATCTGAAATCAGATGCTTGTTCAATCAGAGGCTGCTTCTTTTCCCCCATTTGATGCTAATGGGTTTGGCATTGAGCCTACCAGCAGTGCATTTGGGAGAGAAAATGACCTCTGATTGAGAAAACAGTGAGCTGTGCAAACATTAGTAGCTTCATCTAGCCTGATGTCTGCAAACTGGGAGCAGTGACAATTCAGCTTCTGTTTGAGGGGGAGGAGAGGGGATATCAGCCTGCATTGTGGTTGTGAGGGAAAAATATTCTGAGTTATGGAGCAAATCAGGAGGAAGATAAGGTTCTCTTCTTCCTATGCAGATGCCAGTCCGTTAATGGAGGTAGTCAAAGGGTGATGAGCTGGGTGAAAGTGAGTTTTGCAGCAGGAAAGAAAGTATGTGTGTTTGAAAGATAGCATGTTTTTGTGTGTAAGTAAAATAGAGATATTGTATGAGTGAGAGAGTGTGAAAATAAAGGAGACTGTGTGTGAGTTGGTGGGAGGTGTTGAAGAGAGAGCTGTGTGATTGTGACTATGTGTTATAAGAGAGAGAATCAGTGAAAATGTGTGTGTGATGGAATCAGAGTGTGTGAGAGACACTCTGATTGGGGGATCGAGAGAGTGTGTGAGTGAGAAAGAAAGACATCTTGTTGAGGTGGTTGCAGAGCAGGCTCTTCCTCAAAATATACCAGTACGAAAGGTACAAAGGTTAGATTGTTGAAGATAAGTTCTCAAAACATCTCTTTAGTCCTAATAGTTCACAAACTCCTACTTCAGTGCAAAATGCTTGGTTTACTAAAACCAGCAGCTTTGCTGCAATGACCTCTTACTCGGTTTCAGGACCAGAACATCAGGTTTAATTTATGCTGGAGTACTTGAGGGCTGCAACACCAAACATCAGTATGCAAGGAGCAATCATCCATGCAGTGATACAGAGGGCCAATAGAATGAGTGACACTCCAAAGCTACACATGTTGCTCTCATAAAGCAACGGAGATTAGCACTTCAGTGCTCTAGTCATAACTCCATGTGATTGTTTGTAACAGTCTCCTCAAGCTTAGCTATAAGCAACGCAGAAGATTTAACAGAAGAAAGAGATCACATTAAAATAGTAGAACATGCCAAGGGTCTAGACCCGAAACGTCATGTTTCCTGCTCCTCTGATGCTGCTTGGCCTGCTGCGTTCATCCAGCTCTACACCTTGTTATCTCAGATTCTCCAGCATCTGCAGTTCCTACTATCTCTGAAACCATATTTGTGAACATCTTTTTTACAGCAATAATATTGACACCCAACCACCCAAAGTGAATTCATGATTCTTTATTTTTTCTTCTCCTATTGCCATATATTTAAATCAAGTCACTCTTTGCTCTTCTAAACTCCATCAGATACAATAATCGACTGCCCACTTTTCCTTGTGAGACAACTCACTCAATCCAGGTATCAATCTGATAAGCATTCTCTGAACCACTTTGAACACATTTATATCCTTCCTTAAAAGGGGAGACCAATAATGCAAACAGAACTCCAGATGTCACCAATGTCTTGTATAACTGGAATAACCTCTTTACTTTTGTACTCAATTTTCCTTGGAATAAATAATAACATTCTATGAGTGTTCCTAATTACTAGCTGTAATTGTGTGCTAACTTTTTGCTAATCATGCTAAACAGTTGCCTAGGGTGACTGTCTGTGTGGAGTTTGCACATTCTCCCCATGTCTGCATGAGCTTCCTCCAGGTGCCTCAGTTTCCTCCTAGAGTCCAAAGTTGTGTAGTTTAGGTGGATTGGCATGCTAAATTGCCCATTGTGTCCAGAGGTGTGCAGGCTAAGTGGATCAGCCTTGGGAAAAGCAGGGTTACCGGGATGAGGTAGGGGAGTGAGGGTCTGGGTGGGATTCTCTTCAAAGGGTCCCTGTGAACTTGATGGCCTGCCTCCGCGCTGTAGGGATTATATGATCCTATATATTGGAGCACTCAGATCCCTTTGTTGCTCAGGGCTCTGCAATCTCTCACAATTTAGTTAATATACTGCTTTTTTATTCTTCCTGCCAAAATTAATCATTTTCTCACATTATCTGCCACTTGCCAGACATTTTCCCATTCACTTAACCTATCTATATCCCTTCATAGCTTCCCTACTTCCTCTACACAACTTACTTTCCTGTGTACCTTTGTGCCATCAGTAAATTTAGAAACCTGACTTTGTTCCTTTTATCTAAGTCAGTTATGGGTGTCATACATTAGGCTGTAAAGGCATTTGAGGGAGTGCAGAAAAGGTTCACATGAATCATTCAAAGGATTATTCTTCAATTATAGAGATAGATTGGAGAAGTCAGGACTTTTTTTTCTTGGAGAAGTTTAAGTGAAGATTTGATAGAGGCATTCAAATTCCTGGGGAATCTGGACAAAGTAGACAGGGAGAAGATTATCCCATTGATGGAAGGATATAGAACCAGAGGGCAACGTTTAAAGGCAATTTTGGCAAAAGAAGTTTTGCATTCAAGAGGAGAAACTGTTACATGCAATGAGTAACTGGGATCTGGAATGAGCTGCCTGAGAATGTGGAGGCAAGTTCAATCAAGGTTTTCAAGGATTTAGAATGTTAATTGAAAAGGAAGAATGTCTGCGCCTACACATAATATGCATAGTAATGGAAATAAGCGAAATGCTTCTAGAGGCCATTGGCTTATTTTATGCTGGAATAATGAAGTGGATCTGTGACAAAAACAGAATTTTCTGGAGAAACTCAACAGGTCTGGCATCATCTGTGGAAAGAAAGCAGAGTCAATGTTTCGAGTCTGCTGACCCTTCTTCAGAAGTGGTGAATCAATGACTGCAAACAAAAAAATGCTGGAAATCACAGCAGGTTGGGCAACATCCATGGAGAGAGCAAGGCTATTTTTTGAGTCTAGATGCCTCTTCATCGCTCTGAAGACTCACCTAGACTCTAAACATGAGCTTGCTCAGTTCTGAGGGTCACCGGACTGAAACATTAACTCTGATATTTCCTTCACAGATGCTGCCAGACTTGCTGAGCTTTTCCAGCAACTTCTGTTTTTGTTCCACTGTGATTTCTCGCATTTTTTGTTTTCACTACAGATGCCATCATCTGCAGTAATTTGTTCCAAAATTGAGGTGAATCTATGACTCTGTTATGCTCTGTGTGAGGTCCGGTCCTAGATTTTGTTATCATCCACAACAGCAGAGGGAATTAGAGGGTTATCTTAATTTTTCGGTATTGTTCCAGTCACCACGCAGCTCAGAAGTATTGCCTAATTCCCCCTCAATTATTGAAGTATTCAATGTAGTGTGTACCTTCCCAGAATGCAACGCGAAGCAGGAAAAAAAACGCACAATAGAAGGCGGGAGAAACCCCAGTGCGCAAGCGCATAGAGTTAAATTGCTGGCGGTCGTTTCTGAAGCGGAGACAGTGAGAGACTTGGAAGGGTGATCCTGGGCAGAGGAATAGGGGATTGGGAATCTGGGCAGTGGGATAGGGGGATTGGGGGACTGGGAATCTGGGAATCTGGGCGGTGAGATGGGGGTATTGGGGATCTGTCCAGTAGGATAGGGAGATTGGGAAATGAGGATGATGTCGTTATTTATGCTGCTGTTTTGGCTTTGCAGTGTGTTGGGCCGCGGTTACCCTGGCAACCTGGCGCCATTTTGTTTAAGGCACCAGCAGCGACAGGCTCGGCTCTTCCGAGAGCAGCAGCAGCGTCGCGTGTTTCTTCTGCCAGTGACTATCCTGCCCAGCGTCCGCTGCCCGTATTGCTGGGCCTGACTTCCCATGCCCAACGCTTCCGAAATGTGTAGTAGAACTTCAATCCAGGTGATCCATCTGTCGGATCATCAGTAGAAGCTAGACTTGCCTCCTTTTTATGGCAGTAGCTGTCGTATCTTAGTAAGTTAGTTTGTTTACATGTCTCAAAGCTGCATTGAAAAATCGCGGAGAAAAGGTAGTTAGATAAGACAAATGGAGGGGCGGGGCGGTCGTGGTAAGGTAGCAAGGTTAGTGGGTGACAAGGTAGATTCACAGGTGATGAGGGGCTGTGTGTGTTCAGGAATGAGTGAAGAAGGGATGGGGCCAGGTTGGTGAGGGAATAGGATGTCAGACAGAGGAGGGATAGGGTATGAGTTGGAACGAGTGGGGTGGCAGATAGGTGAAGCAGGCCGGATATTAATGGGACACGGGTTAGAGTGTCAGGTGGGTGAAGGTGTACCATGAATCTCAGGGCTGGTTAGGAATGTGTTAAGTCAGGAGTAGTTCATGTTAGGAGTTTGGTTTTGGGGGATATTGGGCGTTGGAGGCAGTAAGGTTGTTGCAATACTGTTAGCTGTGAATAGAGTGGTCAATGTTATGGTTGCTCGAGAATTACTGCAGGTGTTAATTGCTTTGTATCCCCTGAATAACTATTCAGATAATTCAGAACCCTCAAGCCTCTTGAGTTGGAGAATATTTCAAAGGTTTCTGACTTTTGTCCAACAGTTTCACCAGATTCTTGCAAGCTATGTGGACAGGCTAGGGATTGAAGGGAGAGCAAGCAAACTGACCACAGCAGTATGGCACAGGGAGCAATTCGAGTGGAGGGGAGGCAAGTGGAGTTGGGTAGAAGTAGGAATGTTACATCTAAGGGAATAGATACTAGTCTCTGTGAGAATGAGTCCTGAAAGGTCTGTTGCCTGCCCAATGTCAGAGTTAAGGGCATTTCCTTAGGGCTGGAAAAAGTCTTGGTACAGGAAGAAAGGACATAAATCAGGACACAATGAGTGCATGTAAAAACAAAGGTAGAATATTACATACAGTCCCTGAGTTGTGAACCGGTTCTGTTCAGGAATCTGTTTGTAAGTTGCACCACCATGCAGGATAATGTGAAGCAGCCACACAAGTACTATAAAGGAAAATTCTGTATGTCGGATCTTTAAAATTACACCCCTTTATGGGGTCACATTTTTAAATATGAACGTTTGTAAGTTGGATGTTCATAAATTAGGGATCCCTCTAATTGTGGGTAAATTAATCTTCATCTAGTTTGGGAAAATCAAATTAGCAGAGGGTGACAATGAGGAAAAATTCATACAGTGTATTCGGAACAGTTTCCTGGAACAAAATGTTGTGAATCTAACCAGGGATTAGGCTGTTTTGAGTCTGGTAATGTGTATAATGAATGATCCGGGTAAAACTTCCCAAGGAAACAGTGACCGCCCTGATAATACGGTAGAATTTAGCATTCAGTTTGAGTGGTAGAAATTTGGATCAAAAACAACTAAGCTTAAATAAGGTTAATTGCAAAGGAATATGAGGGCAGAGATAGCTGGAGTGAACTGGGAAAGGACTTTATCAGAAAAAGACATTGTCTTTATGTATTTTAATATGCTCCATTTTTTGCAGCAGCAGCAGCGGGAGCAGTGAGAGCGAGGACCAGGGGGCTGCCGGGAAGGTAAGTTCTTCATTTTGGCAGCAGAGCTGAGTGGCAGCATCAAATTGCGCTCTCGGAAGGTGAGTGAACTGATATATTTGGGCAGTGGCTAAACCCGAGACACTACAAGGTAAGTTGATAAGGTAAGTGTTTTTCTTTTTTTTTAAATCGTGTGCTGGTAAGTAGAGTGATTTGGTACAAATTTTTTTCATTTCATTTATCTATTATTTGATATTGTAGTAGGACTAAGTTAAGCTTAAGAGTAAAATCGGCAGGAGATCCCAGACCCGTGTTATGCTGCTCTTGCTCAATGTGGGAGCTCAGGGACACGACTGATGTCCCTGACTCCTACACATGCAAGAAGTGTGTCCAGCTGCAGCTCTTTTTAGACTGTATGATGGCTCTGGAGCTGCGGATGGACTCACTTTGGAGGATCCGTGATGCTGAGGAAGTCGTGGACAGCACGTTCAGCAAATTGGTCACACCGCAGATTAGGATTGCTGAGGGAAAAATGGAATGGGTGAGCAAAAGACAGAAAAAAAGCAGGAAGGCAGTGCAGGTGTCCCAAGCGGTCATCTCCCTCCAAAACAGGTATACCGTTTTGGATACTGTTGGGGGAGATGGCTTACCAGGGGAAGGCAGCAGCAGCCAGGTTCATGGCACCGTGGCTGGCTCTGCTGTACAGAAGGGTGGGAAAAAGAGTGGAAGGGCATTAGTCATAGGGGATTCGATTGTAAGGGGAGTAGATAGGCGGTTCTGTGGTCGAAAACGAGATTCCCGAATGGTATGTTGCCTCCCAGGTGCACGGGTCAGGGATATCTCAGATCGAGTGCAGGACATTCTGAAGGGGGAGGGCAAACAGCCAGCTGTCGTGGTGCATATAGGCACCAGTGATATAAGTAAAAAACGGAGTGAGGTCCTACAAGCAGAATTTAGGGAGTTAGGAGCCAAGTTTAAAAAGTAGGACCTCAGAGGTAGTAATCTCAGGATTATGACCAATGCCACGTACTAGTCAGAGTAGAAATGAAAGAATAGGCAGGATAAATGAGTGGCTTGAGAGATGGTGCAGGAGGAAGGGGTTCAGATTTTTGGGACATTGGGACCGGTTCTGGGGGAGGTGGGACTATTACAAATCGGACGGTCTACACCTGGGCAGGACTGGAACCAATGTCCTAGGGGCTGCTAACGCTGTTGGGGAGGGTTTAAACTAATGTGGCAGGGGGATGGGAACCAAATGAGGAGGTTAGTGGACGATAAGGAGGTAGTAACTAAAGCCTGTAAGGAACTAGATGACGAAGTCAGTGTGACTAAGGGGAAGAGTAGGCAGAGAGCAGATGATGAATGCAAAGGGACAGGTGGTCTGAGGTACATTTGTTTTAATGTGAGAAGTGTAGTAGGTAAGGCAGATGAACTTAGGGCTTGGATTAGCACCTGGGAGTATGATGTTATTGCTATTAGTGAGACTTGGTTGAGGGAAGTGCAAGATTGGCAACTAAATATCCCAGGATGTAGATGCTTCAGGCGGGATATAGAGGGAGGTAAAAAGGGGTGGAGGAGTTGCATTACTGGTCAAAAGGATATCACAGCTGTGCTGAAGGAGGGCACTATTGAGGACTCGAGCAGTGAGGCAATATGGGCAGAGCACAGAAATAGGAAGGGTGCGGTAACAATGTTGGGGCTGTACTACAGGCCTCCTAACAGCGAGCGTGAGATAGAGGTACAAATGTGTAGACAGATTATGTAAAGATGTAGGAGCAACAGGGTGGTGGTGATGGGAGATTTTAGTTTTCCCAACATTGACTGGGATTCACTTAGTGTTAGGGGTTTAGATGGAGCAGAATTTGTAAGGAGCATCCAGGAGGGTTTTCTAGAACAGTATGTAAATAGTCCAACTCGGGAAGGGGCCATACTGGACCCGGTGTTGGGGAATGAGCCTGGCCAGGTGGTTGAAGTTTCAGTAGGGGATTACTTTGGGAATAGTGATCACAATTCCGTAAGTTTAGAATACTGATGGACAAAGACGAGAGTGGTCCTAAAGGAAGAGTGCTGAGTTGGGGGAAGGCCACCGAGAGCAAAATTCGGCAGGAGCTGGGGAATGTGGATTGGGAGCAGCTGTTTGAGGGTAAATCCACATTTGATATGTGGGAGGCTTTTAAAGAGAGGTTGATTAGAGTGCAGGACAGACATGTCCCTGTGAAAATGAGGGATAGAAAGGGCAAGAGTAGGGAACCATGGATGACAGGTGAAATTGTGAGACTAGCAAAGAGGAAAAAGGAAGCATACATAATGTCTGAAAACAGATGAAGCTTTGGAGGAATATCGGGAAAGTAGGACCAATCTGAAATGAGGAATTAAGAGGGCTGAAAGAGGTCATGAAATATCTTTAGCAAACAGGCTTAAGGAAAATCCCCAAGCCTTTTATTCATACATAAGGAGCAAGAGGGTAACTAGAGAAAGGGTTGGCCCACTCAAGGGCAAAGGAGGGAAGTTATGCGAGGAGTCAGAGAAAATGAGTGAGATTCTTAATGAGTACTTTGCGTCGGTATTCAGTGAGGAGAGGGACATGACAGATGTTGAGGTTAGGGGTAGATGTTCGATTACTCCAGGTCAAGTCGGCATAAGGAGGGGGTGAGTGTTGGGTATTCTAAAAGGCATTAGAGTGGACAAGTCCCCAGGTCCGGATGGGATCTATCCCAGGTTACTGAGGGAAGTGAGAGAGGAAATAGCTGGGGCCTTAACAGATATCTTCGCAGCATCCTTGAGCACAGGTGAGGTCCTGGAGGACTGGAGAATTGTTAATGTTGTCCCCTTGTTTAAGAAGGGTAACAAGGATAATCCAGGTAGTTATAGACCGGTGAGCCTGACATCAGTGGTGGGGAAGCTGCTGGAGAAGACACTGAGGGATAGGATCTATTTACATTTGGAAGAAAATGGGCTTATTAGTGATAGGCAGCATGGTTTTGTGCAGTGAAGGTCATGTCTTACCAACTTTGAGGAAGTGATAAAGTCAATAGATGAGGGAAGGGCTGTGGATGTCATATACATGGATTTCAGTAAGGCTTTTGATAAGGTTCCCCATGGTAGGCTGATGGAGAAAGTGAAGTCGCATGGGGTCCAGGGTGTACTAGCTAGATGGATAGAGAACTGGCTGGGCAACAGGAGACAGAGAGTTGTAGTGGAAGGGAGTTTCTCAAAATGGAGAAATGTGACCAGTGGTGTTCCACAGGGATCCGCGTTGGGACCACTGTTGTTTGTGATATACATAAATGACTGGAGGAAAGTATAGATAGTGTCATCTGCAAACTTGCTGATCAGACCAAGATTGGTGGAGTAGCAGATAGTGAAGGGGACTGTTGGAGAATGCAGCAGAATATAGATAGATTGGAGAGTTGGGCGGAGAAATGGCAGATGGAGTTCAATCCAGGCAAATGCGAGGTGATGCATTTTGGAAGATCCAAGTCAAGAGCGAACTGTACAGTAAATGGTAAAGCCCTAGGGTGAATTGATGCAGAGATAGATCAGGGTGTTCAGGTCCATTGTACCCTGAAGGTGGCAACGTAGGTCGATAGAGTGGTCAAGAAGGCATACGACATGCTTTCATTCATCGGACGGGGTATTGAGTACAAGAGTTGGCAGGTCATGTTACAGTTGTATAGCACTTTGGTTCAACCACGTTTGGAATACTGCGTACAGCTCTGGTCGCCACATTACCAAAAGGATGTGGATGCTTTGGAGAGGTTGCAGAGGAGGTTCACCAGGATGTCGCCTAGTATGGAGGGCGCTAGCTATGAAGAGAGGTTGAGTAGATTAGCATTATTTACATTAGAAAGACTGAGGTTGAGGGGGGACCTGACTGAGGTCTACAAAATCATGAGAGGTATAGACAGGGTGGATAGCAAGAAGCTTTTTCCCAGAGCGAGGGACTCAATTCCTAGTGGTCACGATTTCAAGGTGAGAGGGGAAAAGTTTAAGGGAGATATGCGTGGAAAGTTCTGGAACGCGTTGCCAGCGGAGCTGGTAGAGGCGGGCACGATAGCGTCATTTAAGATGTATCTGGACAGATACGTGAATGGGCAGGGAGCAGAGGGATACAGAGCCTTGGAAAATAGGTGACAGGTTTAGATAGAGGATCTGGATCAACGCAGGCTTGGAGATCCGAAGGGCCTGTTCCTGTGCTGTAATTTTCTTTGTTCTTTGTTATATCAATTAATGCACTTTTGATGACTGGAAAAGTACTTTAATACATGACAGTAGTCACTGTATACTGGTCAATGCAAGGGTAAACATACCTTTGCAAGACACAGTCAGAAGTCACACGACAACAGGTTATTATCCAATAGGTTTATTTGAAATCTCAAGCTTTTGGAGAGCTGCTCCTTCAAGTAAAGTCACTATTGTTTTCATTAACTCCATTTCGCTACGCATGTGGCCTTAATGGCACGGGCAGCACTTTTCCTTCACTTTTAGAATTCAGCTGTTTTATCCTTTTTGAACAAGGCTGTAAAGCGGCTCGGAGCTGAATGGCACTAATGAAACCCGAATCAGCTGTCAGTGAACAAGTTGTTGCTAAGCAAATTAGATCTCCATCATCAATCATTGCATTAATAACACATCTACATTAGAATATTGGTATCTAATAGTGACATCTGAAGGTATCAAAACATCTTGCATTTGGCTTTCAGAACAGTCCAGACATTTGGCAAGCTTCCACCAGTGATTACAGGAGGAGGTTGGCTTGCAGGAGTTGTGGATGGGACAGTTGAGCAATAGGAGATCAGGGTCTGGCATGGTCAGGTTGGGGGTTTGATGAAGTTGCTCTGATGGATGGTTGTGAGTTGTCCCAAGGTTAGAAGGGATTGGGGGAGCTGAAGTGTCATTTTAATGTACCCTCTCGCTTTTCCTGGGTTACCATTAAGCTTAAAGAATTGGTGTCCTCCAAATTTCATGGACTCTTTCAAAGGTTTCTGAATATAGAGGAATTTCTTATTGGAGTTACCTGTGTTGGGATTGTGCATAGTTCCTACGCATAACTCCAGTCCATTCCAATGTGTCCTGTCATCTTCAGTCTACATTTGGGATATTGACTGTTTTTCCCTTTATGATGCCAGCAGTCCCTGCCATATTTGGCTAGGACCAGTGTCTTTGGCAAAATCAATTAGTTCTGAAAATTACATAATTGTTCTTATTTTCCTATCTATTCCTAGAATTGCTTATTTGTATCTTATTTCTTTAATGCTTTTTTGCATGATCTATGTCAAAATCATTGGTCCAGATCTTCCAACAGTCAGGTAGCTACAGACTGGGCGTACCCTGACAGACACTTTGGGAGCCTTTGAATGCCAGTGTCTGTCAGGGTACACCCGGTCTGTAGCTATCTGACTGTTGGAAGATCTGGACCAATGATTTTGACATAGATCATGCAAAAAAGCATTACAGAAATAAGATACAAGTAAGCAATTCTAGGAATAGATAAGAAAATAAGAACAATTATCTAATTTTCAGAACTAATTGATTTTGCCAAAGACACTGGTCCTAGCCAAATATGGCAGGGACTGTTTGCATCGTAAAAGGAAAAACAGTCAGTATTCCAAATGTAGAGCAATTACTGCATTGTCATACTTTCCAGTTTACGTTTCCTATGAACACTTACCCAGCATCTGGAACCGTCTGACAAGTCACCAGCTTTGAGTTAGATTTGAAGAATCTGGAAGGTGACCCAGGAAAAGTGGCACCAATAGTCCTGGTTGATCTAGAAGCATGTGTCTTCTCTGACCTTCCTTATCGACCCAGACATGCTAATTCTGGGTCTGTTGAACCTTCCTTGTGTAATTCTTGACTTTTTGCATTTTCCGTGCAGATTTATGCTTTTCCAATATTTCTGATCCATTTTGGATATGAGAAGGAAAATTGGTATATTTTCTGAATGACAAAATGCATACGGATGTGCCTACCCATATGCACAAATTATTAATAGCTAGGCCACACAAATCAGAAATCCACTGGAATTCAAAAGTGAGGAAGTTGTGCTTTGTTATACAAAGTCTAGAGAAGCCGTTTTTGACACTTAAACCCAAGGAAGATAAATTTGCTTTGCAAGGTACGCAGTGTAGATCTATCAGAATGATTAAGAATTGAGGGCGTTTTGTATAAACATAATTGTTTGCCCTAGTAGTATCTGGAACTCACTCCTCCCAAATCTTTCTTTCACAGGTTGAACCTCTGAGCTGACGATCCAGAATCGGCAATGCCGATACCAAGCAGCCTGATACCATCCCGGTTTCTGACACTTGTGGCTCATTTAGTCATTGTCATCGACATCTTTTGGTCCAGGGTGAGTAAGGAGTATGGCTGAGGAGCTAAGAGCAGAAATCTACAACTCTCTTTAACCCCACATCAAAATTAATGAAATGCAGCTCCAGTTGGATGAGGTGACCTGAGATAGGAAGGGATGTGGCCATAAGTAATTTTAAACATGAGGATGAGAATTTTAAATTGGCCCCAATTCTCCGAAACTTCAGATGTAGGTCATAGAGGACATGATGGATGAGTGGAGCTTGATGTAGGGTAGGATAGAAGTAATAGTTTGAATAAACAGAAGTTGTTGGAGGCTGCAGGAGAACATTGGAATGTGCAGATAATAAAAGCGTGGATGAAAGGTTTAGTAGCAAATGGATTGAAGCAGTGATAGAGATGTCAGCGAACAGTGAGGCAAGGGAGGAGACTAATGAGGTCAAAGGAGCAAAGTGTGGCTCTTCTGGGAGGAAGGAAGATGGGAGGGAAATCGTAGTTTGGCTTGCAGTGACCACTAGTTCCAGATCCACCTGGTAGTTCAAAGTTGCCTCAAACTTTGTCCTCTGTAGATGTAGTAGGTGGCACCTGAGCAGAAACGGGTAATAGGACAAGTTTTATTTAAGAACTGATACAAAGGGAAGCACATGTAGTGTTGAGAAGAAAACATGAAATGCAAAGTGTCCTTGCATTGCTTTGACCTTACTTAAAGTTAAATGTTTGTATCTGTTCTAAGAGCAAGCACTCTGTTTACTTAAGGAAAATCCCAGAAATTGCTGTGTTGTAGGGAGCCACCAACATCTGCTTTACGCCATGTCCAAGACACAATAAAATCTAGAGGAGGCAACTATTTGTTACTTAGTGTTGGTGATCAGTAATCTGGCTGTAATGTGAAATCATAAATCAAGTGTGAGGGACCTGTAATGTTTGTCTTTCGCCTGCGCTCTCTTCTCCCACCTCCCCCCACCCCTGCCCCCATCCTTTGATCTGTGTTCACAATTATAATGTGTATCAGGCAGTACAAAGGTTTCTGCTGTGAGAAAAATAAGGATGCATTTTTTTTTAAAAACAAGAGGAAATGATAAAGTATGGGTGGAAAGTGAATTGCAATTTAATTTGGCTACCCATTTTAAAGGAGGCAGCATGCAAACTTCATAGTCTGCTCACTTACATGATTGCAGCATATAATCAGTGCTGAGTGCATATTTGAATGGCTGTACAATTGAGAGAATCCCGGGGCAGGGGTTCAAAATCCTGAGAGCCATTCACAAATTCATTTTCATTTGTGCTTCTTGAAGTAAGCCTACACATTTTAAAGAAAGGTGCAGTTTGGCTGGAACAGGTACAGGAACTCATTATGCAAGTGACTTAGATCTAACAATGCTACAGAAATAACACATGGGATACATGAGGCTCCATAGGTCTCTGATGCAGCACTGGAGGATTTAATGCAGGAGGCAGAGTCCACTGGGGCCCAGGAAGACCTTCAGAGAAACTCAAAGGCAGTGAAAGCAGATAGTTGCTGCAGGTCAATGTCCTGTGTATCTCTTGGATACAACAGAAGTTATATTTACATTGTACTTTTTAACATAATAGAAGATCCAAAAGACAACAACTTTATGTAGCAAAATTTGGCACTGAGTTGTAGAAGACAACATTAAGCATTTTCTGCTCTGTATCAGTGAATGAGTTAAGTTTTGAGGTGAGTTTTAAGGAGTGTTTTAAAGGAAGAATGAGGGGGTGCAGAGATGGTAAAGTTGAGGGATGATTTCCAGAGACGGAGTAATTAAAATTGGAAATGCTCGAGACCGGCATGAGATGAGCACTGGTATCTTAGAAGATAGCAAACCTGAAGGGACTTACTGAAATAGGGAGGGACAATACCCTGGAGGGATTTTAAAATTTGCATCTTTGTTTTAAAGTTGAGATGCTGTTCAGCCAGCACTCAATACAGGCCAGCATCCATGCCAGAAGTGGGCAAACAATATTTGGTTTGGGTAAGGACACAGGAGCAAAATTTTGGATGCAAAATTTTATGAAGGCTAAAATAACAATCCAGGAGTGTTATTGACCAACCCTATCAATATATTTAGAAGATAGTCTAGACCCAAACTTTTTTTTTATTTTAAAGGTCAATATCAAGAGTTGCATTCCAGATGCAATTTGAGTGGTCAAAATACCAGATTTAAAGCAAAATACACTTTATTCTTCCACCACAGTTAAAATACAACAAGAAAAAGGAATTTCAATACCTTAACTCTACTGGAAAACTTAACACAATAATAGATATAGTAACTATGACTAATGAACTGTTCCAGTATTGTAACATCCCGTAAACATGCCCTTGGCAAAAGGCACATTCAGAAAACAGATTGTATCACATGAAGTTATCTAATCCAGGAGGAAGGAACATGAGAAGTCAATTCTGTCTGTGTGTGTGTGTGTGTGTGTGTGTGTGTAGAACTCCAGCTTTTAGCTGTAGCAAAGAGAGATGTGGCAGCTTTTGACAACCCCTGTAGCTTCTACGACTGAAAAGCTTAAAAAAAAAATCCTGATTCTATGGGCCAGGCGCCAACTCTCCGACACCTCCTCCTACCGCCCCCTTGATCATGACCCCACCCCCGACCACCAAACCATCCAGGTTTCATCACTTCATCACTTCAGGTGACCTCCCACCCACAGCCTCCAGCCTCATCGTTCCCCAACCCTGCACCGCCTGCTTCTATGTCCTTCCCAAAATCCACAAACCTGACTGCCCTGGTTGACCCATTGTCTCCACCTATCTGTACTCCATTTTCTCCCCCTTGGTCCAGGAACTCCCTACCTACGTCCGTGACACCACCCACGCCCTCCACCTGCTCCAGAACTTCCAATTCCCCGGTCCCCAACACCTCATCTTTACCATGGACGTCCATCCCTATACACCTGCATTCCCCATACAGATGGCCTAAAGGCCCTCCGCTTCATCCTGTCCCGCAGGCCCGACCAGTCCCCCTCCACTGACACCCTCATCCACTTAGCCGAACTCGTCCTCACCCTCAACAACTTCTCTTTCAATTCCTCCCACTTCCTACAGACAAAGGGGGTGGCCATGGGTACCCGCATGGGCCCAAGCTATGCCTGCCTCTTCCGTACCTACACTGCCCTAAACCCCACCTCTTCCTTCGTTACATTGATGACTGTATCGGCGCCGCCTCGTGCTCCCACGAGGAGCTCGAACAGTTCATCCACTTCACCAACACCTTAAGTTCACCTGGACCATCTCGAATACCTCTCTCTCCTTCCTGGACCTCTCTGTCTCCATCTCCGGCAACCACCTAGAAACCGATATCCATCTCAAGCCCACTGACTCCTACAGCTACCCAGAATACACCTCCTCCCACCCATCTTCCTGCAAAAATGCCATCCCCTACTCCCAATTCCTTCACCTCCGCCGCATCTGCTCCCAGGATGAGGCATTCCACTCCCGTACATCTCAGATGTCCTCGTTTTTCAAGGACCGCAACTTGCCCCCCTCAGTGGTCGAGAATGCCCTCGACCGTGTCTCCCGCATTTCCCGCAACTCATCCCTCATACCCCCTCCCCGCAATAACAACCAAAACAGAATTCCCCTCGTCTTCACGTACCACCCCACCAACCTCCGGATCCAACGCATCATCCTCCAACACTTCGCCATCTGCAATCCGACCCCACCACCAAAGACATTTTTCCCTCCCCACCCTTATCTGCTCTCCGGAGGGACCACTCTCTCCGTGACTCCCTTGTCCGCTCCACACATCCCTCCAGCCCCACCTCACCTGGCACTTTTCCCTGCAACCGCAGGAAGTGCTGCACCTGCCCCTATACCTCACCCCCATCCCAGGCCCCAAGAAGACTTTCCACATCAAGCAGATGTTCACCTGCACATCTGCTAATGTGGTGTACTGCATCTGCTGTTCCCATTGTGGCCTCCTCTACATCGGGGAAACCAAGCAGAAGCTTGGGGACCGCTTTGCAGAACACCTACGCTTGGTTCGCACTAAACAACTGCACCTCCCAGTCGCGAACCATTTCAACTCCCCCTCCCATTCCGCAGACGACATGTCCATCCTGGGCCTCCTGCTGTGCCACAACGATGCTACCCGAAGGTTGCACGAACAAGTACTCGTATTCCGCTGGGAAGCCCTGCAGCCCAATGGTATCAATGTGGACTTTGCAAGCTTCAAAGTCTCGCCTCCTCCTACCGCATCCCAAAACCAGCCCAGCTTGTCCCCGCCTCCCTAACCTGTCCTTCCTCCCACCTATCCCTTCCTCCCACCTGAAGCCCCACCCCCATCTCCTACCTACTAACCTCATCCCGCCCCCTTGACCTGTCCGTCCTCCCTGGACTGACCTATCTCCTCCCTAACTCCCCACCTACACTCACCTTTACTGGCTCCATCCCCGCCTCTTTGACCTGTCTGTCTCCTCTCCACCTATCTTCTCCTCTATCCATCTTCTATCCGCCTCCCCCTCTCTCCCTATTTATTTCAGAACCCCCTTCCCCTCCCCCATTTCTGAAAAAGGGTCTAGGCCCGAAACGTAGCCTTCCTGCTTCTCTGATGCTGCTTGTCCTGCTGTGTTCATCCAGCTCTGCACCTTGTTATCTCTGATTCTATGGAAGCTTGGCCACACTCATTAGGCTGCTTCTGTTGTTCCAAATTTCAAAAAAAGCACAGGCTGCTTACTTTATTGGCTTTCAACTAGACAGCTCATCACCTATGTCTTAAAACCTCTCTTTTTCTTTAAAGAAAAGAACAAAATAACCCCTTAAAGCGACAGTATTGTCACAATTGTCAAATCTGGAAATGATAAACAACGAACAAAATCAAAGTTGCTGGAAAAGCTCAGCAGGTCTGGCAACATCTGTGGAGGAGAAAACAGAGTTAACGTTTCGGGTCCAGTGACCCTTCCTCAGAACAGAAATGATAAAGGTTGGATAAGGTTTCAGCAGCTGTTGAGGTGAGAGAGTTGCGGAATCAGGTGATGTTCTGCAAGAGGAAGAAGGCAATCTTAGTAATGATGCAGATGAAATGTTTGTGAATATGTTGTTTCAGCCTCGTACTGTTGCCAGAAATATTGATGGAGTCAACAGCTGAGAAATTGAATTTGTAGCAGGAACCAAAATGACAGCATCAGTTTTTCCAGTGTTGAATTGAAAATAGTCTGATATTTAGCAATGCTTGAGGATTAAAAAGAGGTAGTGGTGACGTAGATGCTACATTTTCAAGCAATGTTGATGAAAGGCAGCATGTGGATAACTAATAGGAGGAGACAAGGAAACACTGTTGGCCAACAGCAGAGGTGACTTTGCGGGAGCAGAAAGAGAATGAAATTGCAATCCCACTGGGCAGTGGTGAGTATTAGAGTAGGATGATGAAGTCAACTGTGTCAAAGGCTGCCGACAGGGTAAAAAGGATATGGAGAAATATTTCACCTTTACTTCCAGTCATATGGGATATCATCTGACTTTGGTTAGAGCCACTTAAGAACTGTGACCTGGGCAAAAACCTGATTGGAGTGATTCCAGTATAAAGCTCTGGGGAAAAGTGGAAAAGGCAACCATAGGTTCAGGGACTTTGGAGCAGGAAAGAATGTTGGAGTTAGTGATAGTTTGCAAGAATGACAGGGATCAAGGGTTAGATCTTTTAGAGGAGAGGGATAGTGGTGGCAGATTTAAAGGAGTGGCACAGAACTTGAGAAGATAGAACCATTAACGATAGTGGCTGCCGTTTAAGTATGGGGAAGGATAATTATGCTGTGTATATACCATACATATACACAAACAAAAACAGAAATTGCTGGAGAAGTTCAGCAGTCATTTATATATTACAATTTTTTACTGTATTCTTTTGATTTCTAATGTAAGGGGACTTTTTTTCTCGTTTTTATTCTTTCTCTTTTGCAGGAGAACAATGTTTTGGCCAGTCTTCCACCCACCTACACCCCTCATCAATATCAAAGCCGTGACACCGAGTAAGTACCACAACACTAAAGAGACTTTTCATAGTGTCACCATGTACTTTTCCATACTGGCAGCCAGCACATTTAGTGGTGATGTAAACTGACCGTAAGTGTTCCAAGGATGATTGGACTGAGCTTATGGTTTTTCTGTGGCATGTTATTTTTGTGTTTATTCTGTTTGTTTTTGTAATAACCTGAGCGTTAAAACTAGTTTCTACTAAAGAAATTATTTTTCTGGTCAGAGTGCATCAAAACACACTTAAAACATGAGGACAGACTTTGCACTGTGTGTGTGAAATAAGTCAGTGGCCAACTGGCTGCTTTTTTTAATACCAATGAATTTCAGAGTGTTGAGAGGTGTGTACAGGACTACCATCTACCCTGGTGTCTTTTGCTATATGAAAGACTTTTATACATTTCATGTCTGCACTCCATCTGAATCAGTAATTATTCAAGTCACTTATGGCTTGAAGCCACAGTGAAAATTCATTGATGTCTAATGGGTAATGTAATCTCAGGTGTTTCTGATGTGCATTTAACCATTCTGATGTTCTGTTGTAGGGACATTACCACTGCACCACACCTGAACCAAGAGACCCAGATTCAAGTTTCACTTGCTCCAGAGGGGTGTAATAATATCTGTAAACATGTTGATTAGGAAAATAGGTCTGATGTTCTCCATTTTGTTTTGCTCATTTCCACGTTTACTAGACTGGTCCAGTGTAGTAACATATCGCTGGTATTCTGGTGGGTCTCTCTTCAACCCTAAACAGTTTCTCTTTGATTCCGAGCATGTTAAGGAAAGGTATTAAGGGATATGGGTCAGAGGCGGGTACATGGAGTTAGAGATCATGGCTGATCTGTGGCCTTTGAATGGTGAAACAGGCTTGAGGGACTAAATGGCCGACTCCTGTTACTATGTTCCAGAGTTGCTATGACTTCATCACAATAGCCATTGACCTAGGAACTGGAATGTGCTTAAATTCATTTATAAAGCTCTGTTTAAGCCACTACAGGCAAATTGTGTTCCGTTCTACCCACAACATTTCAGGAAGGATATTTGGGCACTTGTGAGGATGCTTTAGCCTAATAGTTCCAGGGTTGACGAATTTTATCTACAAGGTTAAGTTGAAGAAGCTAATGGTGTTCTTTTTGGAGCAAGTAAGATTAAAGAAAAACTTGATAGTGGTATGTCAGGAGTTTGCTGATGATGTGATGACTAGGGATACAGATATATATTTTTTTGAGCAAATGATGCAGGGGATGAAAATCTTCCATGCAGGAAGTTGTAATGGCCTGGAAAACACTGCCTACAAGGATGGTGGAAGTAGAGACCATCAGTGATTTCCAGATTTGTTGAATGGGCACTTGAAAGAAATAAACTTGCAGGTTAGAATTTGTCAAACAGGACTGCTTAGACTGCTCTGCGGAGGTTCTAAGGATTCTGAACAAAACGTGCTGGAATTCTGCAACGAAAGTAGAAATAACTGGAAAAGTCAGCAGGTATGGCAGCATGTATGGAGAGAAAGCGGAGTCACCATTTCAGGTTAAATGGAAATATAGAAAATAGGTGTAGGAGTTGGCCATTCGGCCCTTCGAGCCCGCTCCACCATTCAATACAATCATGCAATCTCAATATCCCACTCCCGCCCTTTCCCCTTTCCCCTTGATCCTTTTAGCCACAAGGGCCACGTCCAGCTCCGTCTTGAATATTTCTAATGAACTGGCCCCAGCAGCTTCCTGTGGGAGAGAATTCCACAGATTCACAACTGTGTGAAGAAACTCTTCCTCATCTCAGTCCTGACTGGCTTATCTCTTATGTTTAGACTGTGACCCCTAGTTCCGGACTTGCCCAACGTTGCAAATGTTCTTCCCACATCTAGCCTGTCCAGTCCTATCAGGATTTTATATGTTTCTATGATATCCCTACTCATTCCTCTAAATTCCAGTGAGTACATGCCCAGTTGATCCAGTCTTTCTTCGAATTTCAGTCGTGCCATCCCTGGAATCAGTTTGGTGAACCTTTGCTAGACTCCCTAAATAGCAAGAACATCCTTCCCCAGACTTGGAGACCAAAACTGCACACAATGGTCAAGGTGTGGCTTCACTAAAGCCCTGTATAACTGCAGCAAGACATCCTTACTCTGATACTCAAATCCTCTCACTATGAAGGCCAGCATGTCATTAGCTTTCCTTACCATCTGCTGCACCTGCATGCCAACCTTCAGCAACTATTCCACCATGACATGCAGGTTTCGTTGCACTTCACCTTTTCCTAAATTGCCACCGTTCAGATAATAATCTGTCTTCCTATTTTTGTGACCGAATTGCATAACCTCACATTTATTCACATTTATATTGGATTTGCCCATTCAGCCAGTCTGTCCAAGTCACCGTGCAGTCTTTTAGCATCCACCTCACAGCACACACTGCCACCCAGCTTAGTGTCATCTGCAAATTTGCAGATATTGCATTCAATTCCTTCGTCTAAATTGTTAATGTATATTGTGAACAGGTGAGGTCTCAGCATTGAACCCTACGGCATCCCACTCCTCACTGCCTGCCACTCTTAAAAAGGACATGTTTATTTCAACACTCTGTTTCCTGTCTGCCAACCAGTTCTCTTTCCATGTCGAAACATTACCTCCGAACAGGGTTCAGTGACCCTTCTTCAGAACTGATTGTGGCTAGGAAATTTTTGGTGTATATGCTGAAGGAGGGGCGGCTAGGGTATTCAATTTTGCCATCAGAATGTAGATGTTACGCGAAGTAGTTGCCCTCTCTGCGTTTCGTCTCCCCAGTGTAGAGGAGACCAAGTTGCGAGCAGCAAGCACGGTAGTAGACTAGATTGAGTGAAGTGCAGGTAAATTGCTTCTTCACCTGACAGGTGCATCTGAGGCCTTGGATCGTGAAGAGGGAGGAAGTAAATTAGCAATAAACCACCTTCTGTGATTGCGTGGGAAGGTGTTGTGGGGGTGTGGGCATGTTAGTAGTAGAGGAGGAGTGGACCCAGAGAGAACAGACCCTGTGGAAGGCTGACAAAAGAGGGAAGGGGAAAATATATCTGGTGGTGGAAATGGCAGCTTATGATTTTTTAAATGTGGATGCTGGTGGGGTGGAAAGTGAGGACCAGGGGACCCTATTAATGTTGTGGGCAGGAAGAGAAGGGGTGAGGGCAGAAGTCCAGGAAATGGATTGGACACAGCTTCGGGCACTGCAAATTAGAGTAGCAGGAATCCTTGCTTGAGGAAGAAGGTGGCATCATCAGAACCGATGTGATGGAGACCTAGAAACTGGGAGAATGGAGTAGAGTCTTTATAGGAAATGGGATGTGAGGATGTATAGGCAGACTGGGCGACTGCTTTGTGGAATACCTATAATCCGTTAAAAACTACCTTGATCTTTTGGGGTTGCCTGCCACTTCAACACAACACAACATGTCTGTCTTAGGCTTGCTGCAGTACGCCAGCAAAGCTCAACACAAGTTGAAAGAACAACATCTCGTTATCCACTTGGGGACCCTGCAGCCTTCAGAACTCCTATCGGATTCAACAATTTTAGGGCCTGAGCGCTTTATTCCATGTTCTTCCCTCACCCCCACGCAGCAGGCCCTGTTGTTACGTGTACTGCTTTCACCACAGCCAACTCATTTTCACCCACTAATGGTTCCTATTATCAGCTTTTCTTTCTCCCGGCTCACCATTATCCACTCCTTTGTCTGCCCAACTGCTGTTCTCTATCTCTAGGCTCCATGTTCGCCTAGTGGTTACTCCAATTCACCACCTCCAACTAAAACAGATATACCAACCATTTCCATGCTACAATCAGTTCTGTTTTGGGTCAAATGACCCTTCTTCATCGACTGTTTTCTGTCCACATATGCTGCCAGACCCTGCTGAATTTCTCCAGCTATTTCAGATTTTGTTCCTGTTAGAACTCTATGGCCTTCTTCTGTGCCATGGCTATGACTCTGAATCAAATTAATCCGGTTGTATCATGATTTTGTACGTGCTACATTTGCACAAATAGACTGGCAGAAAACCATGACAAATTGGTCTTCCAGCTCAGATGGTACTACTCAGCACTGGATAGTATTCCCAAAATCAGTTCAAAACTTGCAATAGGCATTACTTAGGTACTGGCTTTGAGAGGCTGGGAACAATCAAGTACTTATCTTCTAATATGAGTGGGGAGGAATACCCTTGATCTTCAGGGATTCATATTAAGATGACTTAAATGTGGTGCTCACTTTTTGGGTAATAAGGTTAGTGGTCAACTGAGTTTCCAAAACTGATTTTTCAGTCTCTGATTTGAATAAACTATTTGAATAAATAGTGTGCAAATCAGCTGTCTAAGAATCACACCGAGAGAGTCAACTTAAGCAGCCAGATCTAAGATAGTGGGTAACATCCTGTCTCGTTGGATCCACATGTGCCATGTTTATGCCTATATGTACCTAGATCTTTGTAGAACAGAAGTAGCATCTACTTTAATATTAAACACTGACTTGACATTCAGTTTTGACATCTCAACTTAGACAGGATATGTGGCATTTGAAGGTCCAGTGACAGGAGAATGGTCGAACTGAATTATGATAAAATTGGGTAAACTTGGATTACTTTCTCTGCCATATCACATGATCACACATCATTGTGGCTTGGTTTACACGGGGGATAATTCTAAATCACAGGTATAAATTATTTAGCTTTAATTTTTAGACTAAAAAGGAATCAACTATATTGAAATCCAATGCATTGTAATTTGGAGTTTTGCCAGTAATGGTTGGCATAATCGCAGATTAGGCATATTATGCAGAATGCTACCCCTCTTCTGTATTTTCCTGGTGTAAGGCATTTTGCACATCTAATTCCATTTCTTTTCTCCAGAAGTTTGTGCAAAAGAATTTATCGTTTTTTTTTCCTGAATATTTGCTGATTGATGTTCTTTGCTTTCTTCCAGATTAATTGTGGCATTGTCGGTGACTCTAGGCATGTTTCTAATCGAGCTGCTGGGCTTCTTCTCTGGCGTCTCCATGTTCAACAGTACGCAGAGTCTCATTTGTATCCTTCAGGCATTTTAATGTGTAGGACTAAGATTAAAAGAAAGTGTCCTTGAATGTTTGCAACACTGCCACCTCCTGTCACTTTTCCATTTTTTAACTGTACATACTAAAAGGGGTTATAGTGTGAAAATAAGATTGCTATTTTCTATAGCTGTCTAAAGATGTGTGTAATTTATTGTGAGCTTTCATCTTTTGTCAATCAATGAAGTTGGAGTTGTCAGTTTTAATTTTATCCTGTGGCTTTCAAAGAGGCCACATTCTAAAAGGTTCAGACCCGCTGTTTGGACTTGGGCTTATGATCTACCTTTCCACTTTGAGCTCATCATAATCACAAAGTCAGAGTCCATAGAATATCGATGACATAAGCGTTGTGTTGGCGAAAAAGTTTACACAATTGTTTGAAGAGTATGACGAGTATTAATAGTTGGACATTATTTGACAATATAGGCACAAAGCACCAGTGTGTCAGTGGGACGTCTTGTACCAAATCTACAGAGGTATTGCTGTGTCGCTGTCTGCCAAATTTTAGTGTTTCAGTGGTTTAGTTATTGTAGCAGATTCCATAAATAGTTGATGCACCCTGTGAATCTGAAAACCTCTAATTCAGATTTGTTTGACAAATAGTTCACGTCTAAGGAGCATCCCATGTCAGGTTGTCCTACACGAGGGGCTAAAAGTTTTTTTTTAAACTGTTTTTATTGTGGTAGGTGGAATCAGTGAATGAAGAAATTAGTCCTTGGGCCAGACACCAATATTCAGCATGAGCTGATGTGCCCCCCACAGACAGAACAACTAACAGAATAATTACGGTTTGGGCTGTTTGGCTGAAAGAGAGTTGTCAGGAGAGAGCCGATTGCCGAGATTGGTGATTGCCGGAGGTAGGTACACAATGTCTTTGCTGCACAGAATCATGTTTTAAATTTCACGAGTGTTTTATGGCCAATGCTTGGCCATATCAACATCCTGGAAACTTGTGGATTGGAAATTTTTCAAATGGCTATGGGGTGTTGCATTCCCAACTTGGTCTTTCCAAATGTGCTTTGGAAAATTGGCCAGACAAGTGTCTGAGTCCAGGTTTCTCTCTTGTAGGCAGCGTTCTCTATCTGAAAAACATAGGGTTGTCCAGCTGCTTTCAGTGCTGTGTCTATTGCCATGCAGTATCCAACTATTTGTAGCACAAGGTGAATTTCTGCTTTTGCCACTCAATAGCCATCTTCCCATGGGACTGTTCAGCGAGGGATAGGAATTTTATTAGTCGTTTACAGCAAAATAGTAGGCAGGCCCTTAACTAAAGAGATAAAGATATAAAGAAGCTAAATAGTGAAGAACCAACGTATCAGCATCAAAAATAGAAATTGCTGGAAAAACTTAGCAGGTCTGGCAACATCTGTGGACAGAAATCAGCGTTAACATTTCAGGTCTTGACCCTTCAGAACTATTTTGAAGCTCTGATTACTATTTATCACCAATGCATCAACATATTTGGAAACTTGTGGAACTACACAACTCTTGAATTTTGAGTTTGTCAGGGTTTAATTGAATTCTTAGCTGCATGTGGTACTCTAACAGTCACATCTGATGTATACATTGCAATTAGACTTTATTCAAGTTGAGCTCTTATAGGAAATTACATACTGTATCAGAAAGAAGCAACTTTCCTCAGCTTTACACTAAGGATAAGCTCATTGCCTAGCTGCAAAACAGACAAAAAAAAAGCAGAAACCTGTTGCTATATTAGCACTCCCTTTCTATTGATTCAAGATTTCCTCTGACAGTGGCAGGCCACATTTCTTCATGTGTCACTGCCATCATGCTGGCAAGGGGAATGTGGGTGCACTGCCTATGTGTGTTGCTGAACTCATAGGGAAGCACTTCAGATGAGTCAACTCCAGCCACTGCAATAGGCCATGGGTTTATGTTTTCATTGACCAGTGGACTGGATAGTCTAAGTAGATAGAGCCATACAGCATACAAACAGGCCTTAGGCCCACCACGTCTATTCTGACCAACAAATACTAAAATACAGTAATCCCATTTTCTTGCATTTAGTTGATAGCCTATTATCTCTGGCAGTTTACGTGCTTCGTAAATGTTGAGAGAGTACCTGCCTTCACCGCCTTCTCAGGCAGCACGTTCCATGTTTCTACCAGCCTCTGTGTTGGGGGATAAAAAACGTTCTGTCAGACCTCCTCTTGAACCATTTACTCTGCACCTTATACTTGTGCCTTCTGGCCTTAGCCATGTCAGCGAAGGGTGAAAGGATTATCACAATTCTACTTTGTTCATGCATCGCATAATTCTTTATACTTCACTCACATCCTCCCTCAGCTTTCTGTGCTCCAAGAAGAATAAACTCGACCTGTCTTATCTCACATCATGACTGAGAAGTTTTTTTCCCAGGCAACATCCTGGTGAATCTCCTCTGCACCCTCTCCAGTTCAAACACATCATTCCAATTAGCAGAATTCGGATAGTGGATACTTCATGGATAGAATTAAAGACTGTAATGGGAATTATGGATAGATCCCCTGGTGGTAGCTGTATAATAGTAGATTGTACTAATGCAAGGATTATATGAGCAAGTAGCAAAGACAATGGTCTTAGCAGACAATATCAACTTAAGTTTAGTTTGCGAAGTGCAGACTTGCATGTTGTCAAAGGTAGTGAATTTCTTGTGTGTTCATTATTTTTTTGTAACAGGGGCATAATGGATAATGTCACATTTATCCACATTATACTTCATCTGCCCTGCACCTGGCCACTCAGCCTGTCCAAATCTCTCAATAGACTGTCTCTGCATCCTCCTCACAGTTCACCCTCCTATTCAGCTTTGTGTTGTCTGCAAACATGGACATCTTACATTTAGTTCATTAGTATATCATTAGCATTTATTGCAAATAGTTGCGACCCAAGCACTGATCCCTGTGGGACCCCACTAGTCACTAGTGCCACTTGGAAAAAGACCCTTTTGTTTGGACCAAAAGTAAGAACTAGAAACAGGAAAAGGCACTTTAACCCCTTGAGCCTGCTCTGCTATATGATACGATCATGCTGATCTCATCTAGATCTGAACTCCACTTTCCTGCCCAGTCTCACTAACTCTTCAACTCATTACGAGTTAAAAATCTGTTTATCTCCCAGTACCCACTGTACTCTGTAGTCGTGAATTCCACACATTCATGACCCTTTGAGAGAATTTTCTCCTCCTCTGTTTTAAACATGCTACCATTATCCTAAAACTAAGACCTCTTGTTCTAGATTGTTTCTTGTCTGCCAACTAGTTCTTTATTCATGTCAGTCCATATCTAAATCCTGTACGCTTTAACTTTCATGCTGATCTCTTATGTGTTGAGAGGATGTGCTTATGTGATGGGAGGCTGTTTGCCTGCATCATCATCTTGTAGAACCTCACTCCTATGACTGTATCATTGGTGTCAAAGCTATTTGGAATATTTGATTTTGGAACTGTCAAAACAGATTCATTTATTGATATGGTCTTTAACCTCTCAGCCAGATCGACAAGATGATGTTCAAATTTACATTTCATACTACGTTTTTCTTCAGCAAGTTGTTCCTGGAATGACTACCACACTGAAACTGGGAGAAACTTTATGTACACAATCCCATGAACCACAATGTGTCTTATTTTGAGAACAGGAAAGTCCGAAATTGCTGGAACTTTATCTTCTCTAGACAGTGGTGTGCTTGCCCCATCACATGTCTCAAGTAGATGACTTTGGTACACTCACATTTCACCTAAGTTATCACTAAATCAACTTTTGGTAGTTTTATCAAGTAGAGCAGTTAGTTGTTTCATGTGTTCTTCTCTAATGTTGCTGTGAGCCAATAGATCATTGCTATATACAACACACTTGTATAGCCTGGCAACTACTTGGTTGTCAATCTTTGAAAGCTAGCTGGTGTTTCCTTCCTTCCACATTGCGTTGTTGTAAGATGTCTAGAGTTATGAAAGCAGAAATTCCTTTAGCAAGATCAGTTTGTGGAAATTACCAATAACCTTTTATCCATCTATATCTTGAGGTTGGTTGGCTCGCCGAGCTGATTTGTTGTTTTGCAGACGTTTCGTTACCATGCTTGGTAACATCCTCAAAGCAGCCTCTGATGAAGCGTCGGTGTGTTTTCCTGACTGGTTTTTAAACTCTGGGGTCCGTTGAGATGGATTGCCTCACCTCAGGTTTTCCTTCGTAATGGAATGTGTATGGGGTCGAGTTCAATGTGTTTATTAATAGCATGCTTCGTGGAGTGCCATGCTTCCAGGAATTCTCGTGCCCGTCTCTGCCTAGCCTGCCCCAGGATCTTGGTGTTGTCCCAGTCGAAGTGGTGGTTCCCCTTGTCCATGTGGATTGAGATGAATGAGTATTGGTCGTGTCGTTTTGTAGCCAGTTGGTGTTCATGTACTCTTGTTGTTAGTTTCCTTCCTGTTTGCCCGATGTAGTGTTTCTCGCAGTCTCTGCGGGGGATCTTGTAGATGATATTGGTCCTGTCCATGGCGGGGAGTGGGTCTTTAGTTCGGGTGGGCAGTTGTCGTAGGGTTGATGTGGGCTTGTGTGCCAATCTGATGCCCAGCAGTCGTAGGAGTCTTGTGGTGAGTTCCGGCATGTTCCTGATGTAGGCTGGTGTGATGAGTGTGTTGGGGCGTGTCACACTCATCACACTACCCTACATCAGGAACACGCCGGAACTCCTCACAAGAGTCCTATGGCCGCTGGGCATCAGAGTGGCACACAAGCCCACATCAACCCTACGACAACTGCTCACCCGAACTAAAGACCCATTCCCCGCCATGGAGAGGACCAATGTCATTTACAAAATCCCCCGCAGAGACTGCGAGAAACACTACATCGGACAAACAGGAAGGAAACTAACAACAAGAGTACATGAACACCAACTGGCTACAAAAAGACACGACCAATACTCACTCATCTCAATCCACATTGACAAGGAGAACCACCACTTCGACTGGGACAACACCAAGAT